GCCCCGAGGTCCTGTTCTCAGAACTCAAGCCAAGAACCCAGTGAGTTTACTAATCTTCCGTTCCAAGATAAACACTAACAAAGTTCAAGTTGTAGGAAATCTAAGAAGAAAGCCCCGCCACAAGGGAAAAAACGATCCATCGACGACCTCATCACGGGCGGTAACATTGAAACAGATGTCAGAAATCATCATGCCAAAGAAGCAAACAACCCAAGTTTAACATTTACACATGAAGAACTTCAGCTTCCTAAGGTATACTTGGCTGACGAGACTGGTGAGGCTGTCGAGGCTGTCGAGGTTGACGAAAATGGCGTTCCAATCCAGGAGTTATTCAAAGCCGCCGCAAAAGGTATCGTGACATTCTTGGAAGATTTGCATCGGCAAGCAGGACTTCTTGATGACGATGAGTCACAAGATTCACGGAGCGCCACATACTCGTGCCAGTCTGGGTACTGTTCATGCCGGGCTACGAACGACGACACCATGGTCGATGCCGGTCGATCCTTGCGACAGAGTCCCACAGAAAGGGCCACCGATGATGGGATCAGTAGTTGTGGATTTGGATGCACATCGACTAATTCCACTGCTTCTCTACCTGGCGAACAAGTTGCAATACGAGGCTTGCAGGAGCATACAAGCTGGAACGCAACGGGACTCCCTTCGCCGTCGCTTGTGGAACCAGGACAAGAGGGTACTTCATCAGGTATTGGAGATGCATATGATCAGCAACCCGGCAACATGCCAAATACACGCTTCTCACCCACAAGTCTGACCCCAAGCCAGTTTCAGCCTCCAAGCAGTCAGCCGGCTTCTGGGCCTCGTGTAGACACCTCAAACCTGCTCAGCCATGGAACTGTCACTGCATCGGCTTTGACGTCTATTTCCTCCACATTGCCATGTTATGTCTCGCCATCTCAACCCTCGAATGGCTATTTGAATTCGCAGGATGAACCAAGAGGGACAGAAACTAGTGGAGACTTACAGCATGATGTTCATGAATACAATGCTGAAGAGGCTTTCTTTGACGAACAATTTGGAAATTTGGGAGATACAGATATTATTTTCAACTTAGGATCGCCATGTTTAGGATTTAACTGAATATCTCAAATAGCGGGCTCGTTTCCTTCT